TAGCCAGCGTTCCCACCCGCCCGTATCAAAAAACCGAAAAATGTGAAAAAGTAAAAAAAAAACATAATTGGAACAATTTTTGACCAAATTTTTTTTCTTTGACAGAAATTAAATAGGAATTATTGCTCTGCAAAATGTGACCATTGCGATTTTAAAAAAGAAAAATTTAATAACCAGCGTTCTCACCCGCCCGGATCAAAGACAAGAAAAATATGAAAATGTACGAAAAAAATTCGTATTTTAGGGGAAATAGGGGACTAAAAATTAAAGAATAGGGGACTTTTTAGGGGACCTTAAAAATTGGTTAAATAAAGATAAAAATATAATTTATTTATACAGGGTGGCCACAAAAATTTAACTTTATTTTTCCCTGACTTTTCCCTGATTTCTAGGCACAACTTTAACTTTTTCCCTGATCCTATAAAGAATATTCTGACGAGTATTCTGATTCACTCTAAAAATTATTAGATACTCAAAATAATGTTGTATTAAATTTATTTACAAATTTCTTCAAAAGTAAAATTATTCGAGAACATCAATAGTTTTATTTAAAATAAATATAGGCTTCCGTTTCCGGTACCGTTTTGGTGTACACGCGTTCATGAAGGGTTAAGAGTTTTTGTTAAGTTTTTTTAAAATTAAAAAGGGGTGGTTAGTGTAGTGTGCTGTGCGAGAGCGGGAATTTGTGGTAGTGTAAGAAAAAGGTATGTTTGCGTAGAGTAGTGTGAGTGTGCGTGATAAAAAAGATAAAAAAGAGAAGTCGGTATTGTGAGGTTAGGTAGTGTAAAGTGAGAGACAAGAGAGAGAAATAGGACTGTGAATTGCGTGTAGATAAGTTAGGTGTCTAGAATGTCTGATGTTGAATCTGACTTGAGTAGTAGCAGTAGTGAATATGGAAGTGAGCGAAGTGAGTCGAGTGAGAGTGAGGCGCCAAAATTTGAAAGGGGAATAGGTAAGAATGGAAAAAGAATGACGTGCGAGGATTGTATGGATTTGTTAGAGTTATTTGAAAAGTGGAGTGGATCATTGGACAAACGATTTGAGGTTATAGGAAAAAAGATGAAACGTGTGAATAAAAAAGCGGATGAAAGGGACAGAGAGATTGAGAAAATTAGTGAGAGTTTGGAAAGCATGCAGAGAGTGTGGGAAAAGTGGGAGATAGAGTGGATAAAAGAAAAGGAAGATTTGTGGAGGAAATTGTATGAATTGGAAGAACGCTTAATGGAAAATGAAGGGAAGGTGAAGGGGGGTGAGAATGTGTGTATGCAGGTGAAAATGGAGGAATTATCGAGACGAGTGGATGGTATGGAAAGAGAGAAAAGAAAAAATAACGTTGTGATTAGGGGTATGAATGTAAGGGCAACGGAGGGTAAAGGAGAGGTGGAAAAAGTGTTTGCGTGGGTGGGGGTTAGTGTAAGTGTAAAAATGGTAAAAGCGATAGGAATGGGCGAGAATGGTGTACCGAAATTGTGGTTGGTGGAGTTAGGTAATGAGGAGGAGAAAAAGGAAGTGATGAGAATGAAAATGAAGTTGAAAGGAAGTGTGATAAGAATTGATGAGGACCGAACGTGGAGAGAAAGAAGAATTATATGGCTGTTGAGAGATAAAGCATGGCATGAAAGAAAGAATGGAAGAGTAGTACGAATGGGTAAAGAATGTATTTGGATAGATGAGATAAAACATTGTGTGAGGGAAGATACTGGGAAAATGGTTAAGGTTAGGGCAAATGAGAGTGAATGATAGTAGAAAATGTGAAGAAGAGAAGTGAGAGAGAAACTGAGAAGGTTGGAAGGACAGCAATGGAATAGAGAAAATGTGGGTAGAATGAGGAGTGTGTATGAGTGAATAGAAGTAGTTTGGATGGTAAAATGTTAAGGTTAAGAAAAAGCGAAAAAGGGGTGGGCGAACAGGGAGTATAGCCAGGAAAGGCAATTGGAACTGGAAACGGAAGCCCTGGCACTGGCGATTGTTGATAGGTTAGGGTATTTTTTTGTATAAGTATAGTTGAATAAGGAAGCGTATAGGTTAAGTGTTTTTTTTGTAATTAGATGTAAGATGATTAATTGATTATGTATTTAGTTTGTAAGAAAATTGTATTTGGATCCTCGAACCCTGCTTTTTGCAAGGAGAGTAAATAAAAAAAAAAAAAAAATATTTAAAATAAATATTTAATAATAACTTTTTTTCATTGGAATTAAGATGTTCAAAAATTTCAAACTGAACAACTCATAAGATCACTCATAAGAGCACTCATAAGATCACTCCGAGTCAAAGACTCGGAGTGTTTCATTTCTTTATGTTTTATAATAATTAAAGATGACCGACTGACAAAATCATTAGTTTTTTATTATAAGAATATATTGTTACTAAAATTTCTTTAAAATTATTTCTATCATTTTAATTCAATTAACATTTTCTAGAATTTTTAACTAAAATTCTACTTTAAATCAATAACATCAATTCAATTAAACTTTTTCAAAAAAATTAATTCTTCAGAATTGTTAGTTAAAAGTACGAAAAACAATAATTTAATTTTACGAGAAATCAATTATTTAGATACAAAAATAAATAATATTGAATGATTCTTAAAATTTAATTTTTACGAAGAATTGTATTAACAACTATTGAAAATATTTAATTTTTTTTCAGGAATTTAATTAAAATTTTAATGAAATTTATTATATTAAAGAATTTTATAACAATTTTTGAAAATAATTAAAAACTTTTTGAAGAATTTTATTACATTTTTTAAAATTAATTGAATTCCTAAGAAGAATTTAAATAATAACTTTTGAAAATAATTAAATTCATAAAAAGAATTTTATTAAAATTTTTGACAAAAATTTAATTCTTGAGAAGATTTTCCTTATCTATTTATAAAGATAATTCAATTCTTGACGAGAATTTTCAAAAAACTTTGAAAATAATTTAATTTCTGCAAAGTATTTTATTACTTTTCAAAAGAATTTAATTCTTGCGATGAATATTGATATTTATCAAAATAATTTAATTTTGCAAAAGAATTGTATTAAAATTCCTTAGAATAATTGATTTTATGGGAAGAATTTGTGCAATTTTATTGTTTATCAAGCTATTTAAATTCTTTTGCAAAATTATTTAAAATTTGTTGAAAATAATTGATTTTCTGCGGCGAATTAAATGTTATTTATGAAAATATTTGAATTATTGCAACGAATTTTATTGTTTTATTAAATAATTGAATGTTTCTTAAAATTGAATTCTTTTCTTAAGTTTTAATAAAATTTGTAATAATATTTGCATTTTTCATGGAATTTACTTAAAATTGTATTAAAAATATTTGAAATTATACGATGAAAATAATTAAATTCGTAAATGAAATTTTATTATTTATGAAAATAATTGAATCATTTCGTAAAATTGTATCAACAAGTTTTTTTATAATTAAATTTGTTGATAAATTTTATGAAAATACTAAATATTTAAAAGAATTGAATCGCAAAAAACTTTTAAAAATAATTGAAATGTTGCAAAGAATTTTATTAAAATTTTTGAAAATAATTGAATTTTTGGCGAAACATTTTGCTGTTTATAAAAATAATTGAATTCGTGCAAAATATTTTATTAAATTTTGTTTAAATAATTAAAATTTTGCCAAGAATTTAATTAAAATTTTTTACAATAATAGAATTTTTGAGACTGATTTTGATATTTATCAAAATAATTGAAATTTTGGAAAAGAATTTCATTAAAAATTCTTAAAATAATTAATTTCATGGGAAGAATTATTCAAGAATTATTGCAACAAAATCTATTGTTTAATTGAATAATTCAATGTTTCTTAAAATTGAATTCTTTCCTCAAGTTTTAATAACATTTTTAATAATAATTGCATTTTTTCAAAGAATTTATTAAAAATTTGATTGTTTTGAAAATAATTGAATACTTGTCATGAATATAGTTATCCCGTCAGCACTCGCGCTAATTTAACAACTTTCTTTACTCGCGTGTTGAGAGATTTTCTCACTGTTATGCGCATGCGTCTAGTAACTTTTTTGGCGGGTATATTCAAATTATCTTTCTTTATTATAATCATATTATTCTTATTTGCAAAAGTATAAAATTACTTATTACCAATTATTACATTAATTAATAACGATTTAAGTATTTATTATTAATGATTTATATAATATATTACTATTATTAATCATTTTATTTATAAAATTAAACAGTTGTAATTTAATTAGAATAATTTCACAATTATTAATTTATATTTATACATGGTTTATGTATTATTTTTAAAAAATATTAAAGAATTTGTATGAAACATTAATTAATGCAAATTTAAGAAGATTCAGAATTTATTAAATAGTATTTTACATCGTTTTTACGAAATTGTAAACATTTACATTTTAAACAAATATAAATTTTTAAAGCAAAAGAATAGATTTAAAATCTTATTATTCGTATTACTCTATTAAATCAAACATTATAACAATCATCACAGTACAGCAAAGTGTGTGATGGGCATATAAATTGAGAGCAAGTAACACATCGTTTTTTTGTTTTCTTGTTCAGTTTTCGAGGACAAAATTCACAAAATCCTTGGGATGTCTTGACTGCTTCTTCAATTCTAATGTTTCCTATTCGTTTAATTAGTGATCGTAATTCCAGATTTAATGAAGGCTCCATTACTCGGACTTTAAAAAAAGGAATAACAAGATCTTTTGCTAACTGGCTCAAGAAAGAGCGACGAGTTATTTTGTTTTCAGTGTTTTCTCGATAAATTATTTGGGAATTTATTCCACCAATATTTAATAAGGCATAAAATATTACCATATGCCAGCGACGAGTTTCTCGACTTACACTGTAGGTACCTTTTAATTTATCGACAACGTCTACAGCTCCTTTCGTTAAATTATAAAAGGTAATTATCTCAGGTTTTTTTCTTTGTCCACTATCCTTATCGATATCACCAGAATTGTGCAGGGAAGACAACATCAGCACATTTTTGTTTTTTTTTAAACATATGAAACTAAAGTACATTTTTCAGTAAAACCAAACATACTAGAGTTCACAGCCTTTCCTTTGGTCTGAAGAAATTGAGGAGGTATTTCTCTTTTATTCTTGCGCAAAGTTGTTACAACAGTTGTTCTGTGGTGATCTAATAAATCAACAGCCAATGGTATAGATGCAAAATAGTTATCCATCGTAATGTTTCTACCTGTGCCTAAAATTGGAGCGGAAATACGTTTAACAACTTGATCTACGGAATTAGAAATATTAAAAGGTCCATTCGGTTGTTTTCCTCCGTAAATTTCAATATTGGAGGTGTAAAATAAACGAGAATCCACCAAAGCCCACATTTTTAGACCATATTTTGCTGGTATCTTTGGCATATATTGACGGAAACTGCACCTCCCTCGAAAACTTTCCAGCATTTCATCAATTGTTAAATATTGACCAGGTGTATAGCATTCTTTACATTTATCGTTAAACATATCAAAGATCTCTCGTATTGCCGCTAATTTATCCAATTTCGTTCTTTCATCTCGAGTATGAATATTGTCAAAACGCAATGCATTAATCAAAACATAAAACCGCTGAAGATTCATTGAAGCTCGAAAAAAATCCGGTGCTGTTCCGTCTGAAGCCCAAAATTCTTTTAAATTCACATGATTGCCTTTTTTTACACCAATCATATACAACAAACCAAGAACGGCTCTAATTTCAATTTCAGAAGTCGGACGAACATCTTTTGCGTTTTTATAATTTCTTCGAAGCTTATCAAGTTGAATATTTGTGAAATTAACTATTTTTTCAATCATATTTTTAGTAAAAAATAATTCCCAACACTCGAGAATACTTTGAGCATTTTTGGTAGCAGTTTTAACTCCTGGCAACCTGATGACAATATTATGCTTTCTGGTTTTTACTTTTTTATTTTCAGGGGAAGAAAACCATTTTGTCGTTTTATCTTTGCCTATGAAAAACTTTTCACTAGTATCATTGCAGCTGATGTCCTCACTCTCGGAACCTGATTGTTCAGTGGAACTGTCATTCGAAACTTGTTCGATATTATCGTCGCTTTCTCCAGAAAGCTCGAAATCTTCCTGGTCAGATACATTTTCTTTTGAATACCAATCGAAATCTTTTTCCTTGTTTCTACTCATGATTAGAAAACATTCGAAATAACCTAAAAACGTCAAAATAATAATATGCATATATGTGTATAAAAAAGTGTAAATTAAACAATATGAATGTAAATATACTTTGTATATGATATAATATAACACAACGTAAAACTCTTTTATGAATAAATAATAATAAAATTATTTTTAACGTTAAAATTATCAGAGCAACTTACCACAGTTTGTTTACAATTTGCACGTCGACGCCATGACAGTTTTCAGTATAGTTCTATTTCACTAGAATATCCATAGGCGAACGAGTTTTGCCGAACACCTCTCGACAATTGCCGAAGTCCCACTCTCCCAGCTTACTTTAGTATCGTGTAGAGAAAAAATCTCATGAATCAAATTGACAAGTATAAAATAAACAATTTCTTTTTAATAAACGGTATTCTCTGAATTATTTTTATTATTTTTGTATAAAAATAGAATACGTTTTATGAAGATAGAAAAAACCTCGGCAATATATATAAATTTTAACCTTAAAATTTTTAAATATTAAAATTAGAGTGAGACTTTTTCTCTATAACGCGAGTGCTGACGGGTTATTTATGAAAATAATTGAATTTTGCAAAAAAATTTATTAAAAGTACTAAAAATAATTGAATTTATGGTGAGAATTTTGTTGTTTATCAAGATAGTTGCATTCTTTTACAGACTTTATCAAAATTTTTTGCTAAAAACTTGATCAAAAACTTGGCCACCCGCTTCCCCAAAAGAACGTTACACATTTGTTAAACGGCCCCTGAAACAAATTAAATAAAAGAATAAAATTACCTTTTTGTAAAATTCGCCATCCAATTTTACTTCTTCGATGGAATTGAAATCTGATAAAAGAAACTTTAACTCTGATTTTAAAATCTTTGCCTGCGACATTTTTTACACAAGAATGAACAATAAACTAATTTGTTTAAATATTTTTTTAATATTAAAATTTAATTAAGTTAAAACTTTTATTTTAATATTAAAATTTAATGTAATTCACTTTTATTTTAATATGCCGCGTTAAGGAAAAATTTTGCGTAAACTTATTCGAATACCAGTCAGGTAGAACTGCCTTTTCTTCTTTTTATATATGACTTGTGGTCTTCCCGAGTGTCAGAACTATAGAAATGCCTTTTAAATATGTTTGACCGGAATATGCCCAAAAGTCTCGGCGCGTCTCTTCTTCCCCCTCCTTATAGCGCTCACATCCGCCTTCACTGCTTCCGATTTCCCTTTATATTTTTAAAAGGCGAATGTAATTACTATTACTATTTATTTAATTTTAAGTAGAAAATAGTAATTTCTTTCCTACTTCTGTGTATTCTTTTATTAATAAACAATAGAAGATTTTATAGAAAGATTCTTTATTTTTTCTCCACTGCAGAAAGGAAAGTTCTATGGGCCAATCACAGAGAACGCGCTTCCTCACATCCGCCGTCCCTGCTTCCGATTTCTCTTTATATTTTTTAATGGCGAATGTAATTACTATTACTATTTATTTAATTTTAAGTAAACAATAGTAATTTGTTTCCTACTTTTGTGTATTCTTTTATTAATAAAAAATAGAAGATTTTATAGAAAGATTATTTATTTTTTCTCCACTGCGGAAAGGAAAGTTCTGTGGGCCAATCACAGAGAACGCGCTTCCTCACAGCCAATGAGAATTGTAAGAAGTCTCCCTCTTTAACACTCTTTCTCAGTTTCGGCGTCAGCGTCGGTTTTCCTTTGTCTCATAAAGCGTTTTGACTTCCTGCTGAGAGCGTCGTAATATTAATCTTCAAAATGAGCGGTAACAATGTAAGTAAAAATACAAAAAATGTTTTCTCATTTAATTGTTACATAATATATTAAGTACAATAAAACTTAACTTTCATTTATTCCTTTTAGAACGGACCACGTGGCAACGAAAATATTCAAGCTTTACCAGCGATGGCATCCATCGTCCTGCCACCGGGCTATTGCATACAACCGCCGGGGGAAGAGGATAACATGCCGCCACCACACCAACCGGGGCATCATGAACAGCCTGTAATTGTTGAAGCTGGACCACCAATTCACCAAGCACCAGGAGCTGGTGCTTGCAGATGCATTTACTGCATGGATGAAATGCCTGTTCCCCCAGCGGTTCCTTTTCACCAGGCATTATATATGCCTCAGCCACCGACTGCCGCCTTACCCGTTGCTGCACCGATGATGTCTACACCGATGATGCCTGCACCGATGATGCCTGCACCGATGATGACAGCACCGATGATGACAGCACCGATGACTGCTGCAATGGGCATTATCTCGACGCCGGAGGGAAACAATGTTCTGTTTAGTGGACAGGGTGGGAGAAGACTCGGAGACGAAATTTGGACGCCGATCAGGTAACGGGGCTCTTAAGTCGGCTCTACAATGTGCGCGTCGTATGCGAACGTGGACGTGCCATGTTCGTCCACGTGAACGCGGCTCGTCCACGTTAACATACGAACGCGCCCATTGTAGAACCAACTTCAAGAGATATAATTGCTTACCGACTAGTAATATTTCTTCCAAAAAGCCCCAAGACATTGAAACAATTCAATTCTTTTTAGAAAAAAGTAAAATCATTTAATTATTTAAATTATTCCTACTCGTTTCCTGTTGGTTATTAACAATCTTTTTTTTCCTTAATACAAGACAATTCTTATTGGAGTGTCCCTGCAATAAAATACTTATTCAAAATTCTATGTAAACAAAAACACTCTGGAATTAGCTTACACCATGAATTTTATGAAATATTCAGTTCTATGTAATTTTTAATTACAATTGCTTACAAAATAATTATAATTACATAAGAGAGGATATTTATTTAAAGCTTCTTAGAAACAATATATATGTATACACTGAAAGTAACAGATAAATAATTGTTATTTAGTATAAGGAGGAAGATTTAGGTTACATTTATAGTTCTGTTAATGGCAATTGTTTTGGACACAATTTTAAATAAGACTTTTATTGCATGGAAAATCTACTAAGAATTATTTTGCACCAAAAATTGAATAAGATTTACAAGACGCATGCCTGTTCCTAAATTTCAATTCTATACAATTTATTGTATTTAATTGAATTTTTTATTAACTCAATAAGTATTATTTAAGCTAAAGGTAAGTGTTTATAATTTAATATTACCATTGGCAGGGACACAATTCAATCTTTTCCAATTCTACAATTACCGATTGTACATTTCCTATTCTGCAAATATCCGAATCTACATTTACCGATTGTAAAAAATTCTAAATTTGCAGATAATATAGAATTCTATTGATTACACAGGTCTACAAATTTTAACTTAGTTCTGTTTAAAAAATGGTAGGTGATTCTAATAGATTTTTCGACGTAGAAAACGAATCCGACCTTCAAAATGGTCCATCACGTCAGGACTTTTTTAAATATTGACTTGAATTGCCAAAAAATGTCAAATTGGGCTATTTTTCGGAATTGTTTTTGATTAACCTTTTTTTATTCATTTTGCAAAATTGTATTATTCTATACGTATTCTTGTTCAAGGAAAAGATTCATTACGTTTAAATTCAGATAATTTATTTTTTACTAAAAAAAATTAAAATACAATAGTAATATGTTCGATCGATCATATATATTCTGCCACACAAATATATATGCGCCATTTTTTCTGCTAACTAACAACTATCTGACCTCCCTCTACCCTAGTAAGCGTAAAGTATTTTTTGAACGGTTTCACATTTTTTTACAAAGAAATTGGTAATTTTTACACAGGCCGTCACAAAACTATAACCCTCAGCCTAGTTCTATTACGCAATATGTATTTTGTGAGGAATCATTCGATATCTTACTATAAAATCAATTAATATTAATTTAAAAATTACTCCACCCGTGCATAAAAAGTCCCGATTAAACCGACAAGTCATATTCTAGCAGGAATTTGGTTTGGAGAAAACTAACTTTCACCTAACCAATTTTTGTTACCCTTGTACCAAGAAATTTCAAAAATTATGACTGGTATTGATGTGGATACACCTGATGTTGAAAGTGAAATTATTAAGGTAAAGGATATGATTATTTCAGGAACATGCGATCTTCCAGCGAAAGCATTGTTTATAAATATGAAACAATACAATGGAATATGTGGTTGTCACAAATGTAAAATAAAAGGGAAACGAGAAGGATGTGTTCAGATTTATCCACATCAAGTAAATCTGGAACTTAGAACTAAGGAAGAGACAATGCGCCAAGCGAAAAAAGTGACTTCTAAAAAGCCAGTTTGTGGAGTTAAAGGCCCAAATTATTTTGTCTCATTTAGTTTACAAAAGGATTAGAACAACAACAATAGATATAATGCATTGCGTATTTACCGGTGTTTTCAAATCACTTTTAATGCTCTGGTTTGATCCTTCTTATGCAGGCGAACGTTACTCAATTCACGACAAGGTTAATAATGTTGATAACCTTTTAAAAAAAATTAAGCTTACACTATGTGTTCAAAGACGACTTCGATCTACAAAAGAGCATTTTAAGTACTGGAAAGCATCAGAGTTTAAAGTTTTCTTTTCTCACGTGTCATATATAATTCTGGAAGTTGCCTGAAGGTCCGACTATTTTGAGCATTTCCAATTATTAGTTGCTGCTATTTATCTTCTTAGTCAACCAAGCATATCAGAAGATATGTTAAATAATGCGGATCGAATGATAATCGAATTTAGTGCTAGATTTGCATTTATTTATGATGCTCGCAACATGATAAACAATTTACATTCGATGCGAAATTTGATTCGAGATGTTCGTGAAATTAGGCCTTTATATACATATATTTTTGTTTTACATATGAAGACATTAATGGAAAATTGAAAAATTTAGTACATGGAAGTAAAGGGGCACAACTTCAAATATTTTTCTTTATTTGGTTTATACACCCGTCTTAAGCTTATCCAGCTATACAAGTGTGTTTACATTTCTCTTACAATATTTCTTAAATATATTTCTTAATACTAAGTTTTGCGCCTACAGCATTTGCCTAGACTACCCGTCTTATGGGTTTTCTCGCCAGTGGAGAAGAAAACTGTAGAAAACCTCTCCTGAGTACAACCGGTTTATCGACAGTCGAGTTCTAATGGTGTGAACCAGACAATATTCGACGGTGCACATCATTATACCTCGCCGTCAAACCTCCCGCTCAGATTATCTCACGTGCCGGAAAAATACCAAGCCAAATGGACGCGAACCAAGGGTACTTATACCCTTGGTCCTTAAACGACCGCCAAGGGAGGCATCTATCCGACTGAGCTAATCTATCGGTCACAACTTCAAATATATTTTGGGACATCTTTGTATGTAAACACATACATATTAAATCAAGACCAACTTGTTGAAAGGTCTAAGGCAAATAATTTTTGTAAAAAGTACCTATATTTGTTGGTTTAAAAAATTAAAACTACTGAAAATACAAGAAAAAATATCTGTTGTTGGAGGATTTTAAAGAAAACGAATTCGAAATGACGTTCAGCAAATATTTGTGGATTATGGAGTTCAAGGTACGAAGTACGTAGTCTTCAAAAAATTAATGAAGGACAAAATGATATACACGTTTGAGGTATACACTTAAGCGAAAGTTACTAACTCTAAATGTGCACAGTACTTTGCAAATAATAACACAAAATTTGGAATTATTCGATTATTTTTAGAAGTTTCCGTTGCTTTCCCCACAACACTTCTTCCCCAAATAAGTTTAAATTTTATTCATCGAGTTTATAATATTATTGCTTGATCAAATATTCTGAATGTTAATAGCAAATAGTCAGTGATTTAAAAGTGCTGACCATTTTATTTGTCATGCAAGGTGGTACATTGAGCACCTTTGCTTCCTATGTCAGTGAGATAGTCGTGCTCTGAATAAATATGCTCAAACTTAATGGACATCACGTCAATTCTTCAAGATTGGTCAACAAAATGTCTTTAAGCATCTATTAGTACAACCAGAAAATGTTACATTACCATCATTATACCTGAAGCTTGGTTATGTGAAACAGTTTTTGACGAAATTGCAAGTTGATGGCGAAGCATTTCGTTACCTCAAAAAATGTGTTCCCTAAGTTGAGTGACTCAAAATTAAAAGAAGGTTTTATATAATTATTATTTCGGAAGCAATGACAGTTTATTTCTTTTCTACATTTTTAATGAGTTGTTTTTGTTGTTGTTGTTAATTTTAGAGATATTTGACGAACCTCAGCTCAGGTTCTAAGACTTATGCGAGATGAGGTATTCTTTATTAAGTTGAAAGCAGTGGAAAGACGTGCACGAAAAGATTTCAAATCGTTATGTGAGAAGTTCATGTGAAATAACAAGAGCCCTAATCATGTTGACGTCGTTCACGAATTTTTGATTGCCTACGAACGAAAACCTGAATCCGAAAACACTCCGGAGTAATCCTGAATGTCTACGAATTCAGTCCGTAATTAGTCCGCAACAATCCGAATTTATGACCGGTGAAGAATTCTTCTAAAATAAGTACGGAATTATCCGAAATCAATGTGTAAAGAATACGGAATCAGTCTGCAACAACCCGACTTTAATCTAGTTAAAAAAATTAATCCGTAAAATGTCCGAAGCAATTCGAACTCTGTAAGCAAGAAATCCGATATTAGTCGGCAACAAATTGAAATTAAGTGTTGCAAAATCTTATTTCAAAACAAGTACGAAACAATCCGAAAACTGTATGCAACGAATCCGGAAATTGTCTGCAACAATTGGGATTTAATTCAATTGAAAGACATAATCAGAAACAATCCGATATCTGTATGCTAAGAATCCGAAAATTGGCTAAAATAATCCGGATTTAATCCAATTAAAAGGCATAATCCGAAACAAAAACAATTTGGAATTAGTGTGGTAAAATTCTATTCCAAAACAAATACGTAACAATCCGAAATATGTACCTAGTATATTAAAAAATTAATTTTTTTATAAAGTTTCTATAATAAATATTATAAATTTCTCACAATAAATAATTAAAATTAAAATAAATTTTTCATTACAATTTTTTTTAATTTGATTCTTTACAGTAAATAAAAATAAATTAAATTTGAAAATTTACAGTAAATCAATAAAAATATATTTGAAAAAATACTTTGATAAAATATTACGTTTCTTTAAACAAAATTAGTTTTTTTAGTTTTATTATTTCAAAAAGTATAAATAATAATTGATGAAATATATTTCGTTCTTTTGAACGCTTAGAATTTTATATTCGATTTTTTTATTTTTTCATAGTAAATAAATAAAAAAAATTAAACATACTTTTAAAAATAATAATACAAAATATGATACTTTTTCACAATAAATAAAAAAAAATATTACATGAATATAATTTAATAATA